TCAAATACTAGTAACCTACGAATATCCTCTACTCTTACCGGCCATGTTTCACTGCCATAAAGTAGGAAGGAACGAACTGCTGCATAGTAAACACGTCCTTTGGTTGGTAGACGGATATCTCGCCTACGCCATAAATGACGCAAGTTGGCAAAAGCTAGTCGAGCCTTCTGTATCCGTGCTGAGATTTCGTCACACACCAAACCACAAGGGCTGATGAGACTTCCAAGATAAGTGAAGCGGTCGACACGCTCAATTACTTCGTTCCCTATCATTAGTTCGGGTGTCAATGCAACCCAATCCTGAAGCAACATTTTACATTTCGAGGGGGAGAATCGCATCCCAAACATGCTTGCATTGTAGCCTAGAGTGGTCAGAAGACTATGCATTTTGTCAGCGTCTTCACCAAATAAAACTATGTCATCAGCATATTCTAAGTCAACAAGTGAACCTCCCGGTAGAAGTTCAACCCCTGGAAATCTAGACGAGAAAAGTGTTATCTCTAAAAGTACGTCAATGACAAAGTTGAACAAGAATGGAGAGAATGGACAGCCCTGACGAACACCACTTGAGGTAATCAATTCTGATGACAGTTCGCCATAAGCTCTCACTCTACCAGTTGTGTTCGAGTAGAGAGCCTTTATAAGGTTAATGTACTTCTTTGGTACTCCTTTCAGTGACAAACACTGCCATAGAACCTTACGATCAAAACAGAGTCGAGTGCCGCCTTAAGGTTGAAAAATACTACCATTGTGGGGCGTCTGAACGTGTGTCTGTGTTCTAGAACCCGACGTAGTGTGAATATCTGATCTATACAACCACGTCCAGGTCGAAAACCGGCCTGGTTTTCTCTAATCTGCTCTTCACGAGCTTTGATTAGGCGTCGAAGTATTATTGAAGCTAATATTTTAGACAGTATATTAGTCAAACTGATTCCTCTGTGATTGTCACAAGAGGACTTTTGCCCTTTCTTAAAGACTGGCACAATCAGTGATTGAGACCAGTCAGATGGGATTACGTCCAGTTCCCAAATTCTACCTAAGACATCAGTTAATCTCACTGCTAATACTGGACCACCATCCTTAAAAACCTCAGGAGTGAACCTGTCAGGGTCTGCTGCTCTCCCTCGCTTCAGATTTCCTATGGCTTTTTCAAATTCATAAAGAGTCGGAGGAACTACAATAACTTACCATTCAGGTTGACTGGAGATCACGGGAAACCGAAGTGTGGCTGAAGGCTAGTTGAACTGATCCCTAAAGTGTTCTGCCCATCGATCCAATCTCCTGGATTGCGAATGTATAATATGTCCATCTCTCTCTGAGAGTGTTTCGCTAACAGTCGGTTTCCTAATACCGGTTTCCTTAACAAGTCTGAACAATTGTCTGCTATTACCTATTGCCGCTGCCTTTTCCATCTCACTTGCTTTCGCTACCCACCACTGTTCGCGATCATTGTGTAGGCTTCTTTTCAGCTTGCGCTTAAGCTGACTCCGTTCTTCATTATGTTCAGAGTCAGGTGGAATGAGTTTCCGAGCACCTATCAGTGCGATAGATGCTGCTGAGATCCAGTGTTTCTCCCTAACTTTACGGTTTACCTTACTAGCAGATATCACTGCTGTTTCCACAGCTTTTCGGATATCATTCCATGCTGCATCAGGGTGGGCATCACATACATGGCTGCCTAACTGTTTTCCTAGTTGTTCCTGAAATATACTCTTAGCTTGACTATCATTAAGTAGGACCCTAAGAGGTTTCCTTGCAGCGTCTTTCCTACGTCCAGTAAGACGCAAGCAAATACGTGCTCGCACTAGAGCATGATCTGAATCTAGGCATGTGCTCCAGAATGAGCGACAGTCTTCTACCGAGCCCCTCCATCGGTGGTTGATAGCGATGTGATCTATTTGGGTCCAACGTTGGGACGAATTAGGGGGTCGCCATGTTAAAAGATGTTTTTCCTTATGCCTAAAGTTAGTATTTGCAAGGAACAGGCGGTTATCTGAGCATAGCTGCAACAGACGGTCGCCATTATCTGCTCTTTGAGCCACGACACCATAAGATCCACCTAGGTGTCTTTCCCTGTCGCTTAGTTTACCTACTTGAGCATTAAAGTCACCGGCCACTATTCCTACATCCGAGCGCCTAGCTTTTCGGAGAAGGTCGGAGAGCTTTCTGTAAAACTCATCTTTTACATCATCTGAGCTGCAGTCAGTGGGAGAATAGGCAGAGACGACGACGAGTGTCCCTATCTTTTGGGATCCTTACTGTTCCGTTCAGTCGGACAACGCACAAACGACTGTCTACTGGGATCCACTCTAAGAGAGCTAGTTCTGCCCTAGGACTCAATGCTATACCTACGCCGGCGAGGCCACGGGAAGCAGAATCAGGGATTCCAGATACACGAAGCGTAAATCGAATCGGTTCTTTATTTTGGCATGGTGAGGTCAGATGAATGACGCTTCTCGGATCCTGTATGTGCGTTTCGGAGACGCAGCACACATCGATGGCGCGAGATTCTAAAGTCCTAGCTAAGGAAGCCTGCTGTCCTATTTGTCACAGTGGTTGTACGTTAAAAGCTCCTACGTGTAGTTTAGAGCGTGGTTTCAGGAGACCAGGAACAACGTTCCGCGTACTTGAATCGTTTGTCCTAGCGGTGCGAGGTGATGAAGAGACGTGAGGAGGGTTAGTCATGGAGATAAGAGAGGTATTAGGAGGTGCAGGAAGGATTTGAATGTGACCAACTTGGTCTCGTGTGCTGTTACGGGTATGAGGGCTGATATCACTTCCCGGCTGCCCACACCGTGGAAGGGTATTTCTTGAGGAACCTGAAAAGGAAATTGGATTAGTGTTGGTCTTGACGACCTGGGAGCGTGACCGCAGAGCCCAAGGGACAACTGCTTGAGGCCGTTCGCGCACGGCCTTTTTGTGGAAGGTTTTTGATGTGTTAGCTCCGTTCTTCAAAGGGCCTTACCGCCGGAGACGGAAATCCGTGAGGTAAGGTGAGGTGTGACATTTTCAGGGTCGACCTTTTCTAACCCCACCCCTCCTTGTGGGAAGGCAGCATCGCTGCAGGTGCTGGTTGTCCGAGGGAAACACCTTACTGCTGTCACACCCCTCTACAGTCAGCAGTACGACTTCGCCCTCAGACCTTGAGTTGCTGCTTTTAGTCTTACCGTTCTCCAATCGACCTGCCCGGCATGGTAGAACCTACAGGAACATATGTTCCAGCCAATATAGCTCGGCTGGGTCATCACGATAAGCAAGCCCGACGACCGCGTCAAGGTAGCAGCTTCGGTTGGGTGGACAAATAGGTTTATAAAAGCGTTCAAATTTCTGTGATCCAAATGCATACTCAGATATTTATAACAAAGCTTACACTTCATATGTTACCAAATCACTCATTTTTCTACTGTCTCAACTCAACAGAATCCTTGTGAAACTTATGTTGAGTAGATAGTTGTCAAGTATGTCAACAAACGCCACTACAGTACGACTTGAAGAACTGTATTAGACAGGCTATCTCCTGTCGAGCATACAAAAGGATTTACTTTAACATGTTCATCGTCATAAATCTATTCATTTGATCGATGTGAATTTTCAAGACGTCGCGCAATATATGCCATCATACCTACTTCATTCCTTATTTACAAAAATCCTAGCCAAGATATATTTGCACTAAGTGATAACCATATAACTTATTATTCCTCCCAACCTATCTCTTACGGGTTGACCATGAAAAAAAGTAGTGAAAACCTTAACATTTAGTATTTTACCTGGTAAATAATCAAAAGCACAACCGAACATCACTCTATTTTCTTATGTTATTATTGCTATGTAAATGTTTTAAAATATAAAACAAAAGCACTAATATTTCAAGTCACGAAACTATATTTGTTAAACGTCGAAGCGTAACATGTATGAGCAAACGTTCTGTAGATTATCTCATTTACATTACGAGAACAGGACCACAGAAGTAGAAAGTTATCAGATGAATCTGATAGATGATTATCATCAATAATATCCAATATAGTGTTACGATTCAACCAAAAACAAATACCATTCTCGGAAAATGTTAAGTCAGAAATGAGTTATTCGACAAGCTGATCATTATCCTTACACACGAAATTCAGAGAAAAAATACCATTGCATTTTGAACACTTATAGAATAAACAACAGGTTTACTAGAGTAGCTATAAGTCCTAGGTTTTGCTTCGTGTAACTCGACTCCTAATTGAAAAATCCAAAGATCTGAAAGGCAAATTCAGTGAACAACGAGGAATCTAACATAAACTCTGATCGATAAGATCATTTCTGAAGCGGGATTAGAATGTGATTTCTGATGAGGTAGTGTTAATACTACTTAACGGAGAGGTAAGTTATTGATGATGATGAAAGAAGGCTCACTTGGTAAATAGTCAACTTTTCTGATACTACGACACAGAAATTGATAAAAAAAATTATTCTTAATTATGTTAGGCAAAGTTCACATACTATGTTTTAAGACCTAAATTTGATTTGAACATAAATATTGGAAAAAAAAGGGCACTAAATACACAAGTGCCATCCAAGTCACTTGGTTTGTGTGTGGTCTGTGATACTACCCGGGTGCCCAGACCGAAGCAGGTGGTTTTCCTAGGGGGCCACACCCCGAGCCTTTGACCTAAAGGTCTAACCCACAAAGCAGTGGAGCATCTTGAGGAGATGCAGTCCCATGGTAGCCGGTGACCAACGACTAGTTCATACGCTATTTGGTCCCGCAGGACACTGGAGCCCATGTGCACCATTGGTTTGGAATCAGAGTTTTCCAACTCCCCTAGGTGGACCTTCCATGTCCACTAACCCAGTTAAAGCACCAGACATTTGCTTTTCATCCTCTCAATTTCGTAAACACCCCCGCCACGAAAAGGCAGTGAGTAGGACTTCCCTCTTAGTAGCTGTATACATGTGGTCATTTCGAGAGGACTCCCCCCCCCTCGGTCGTACAAGGGTATTCGGGGTTGTAAACTGAACCTAAACGAAATAGAAAATCTATTATCAATAAACATAATCCAGAAATACTTTAACAGATCATAAAAACTAATCAAACAATACACAAAGATTATCGTAAATCCACGAACCACATCATCTAACCGAAAAAGCCCGAGATTAAGTGAATGCAATTACAGTTCCCATTAAATAATACAAAGATTAACACATACAATGAGCAACGAATGTAAACCATCTTATAGATACATATATATTTAGCGAACCACAACAAAATGATTTCGTAAAAATACGTAATAAACACAAAGTGGGAAGCATCAAGAGCCATTAGAAAAAACACCGAATGTGGCACATGAAATTATTGTCCAACGGATATCGTTGATGACAGAGATGTGGTTACTGAAGTTACTATCGATGAGGTAACCCCTGATGATGCAGACAAATTGACATCTACTGCCGCTGGAACAATGACAGGCGCGAGAACAGACGAAGCACCAGTTGTTGCAGTATAGTAATAAGTTGCATATGCATCTGCTGTCAAACCAGCCGCACCTGAAGTCGATGTATCCGACTAAAATGGAAACAAGGACATAATCAGTTGTCTATACCAAAAATAAATCGTTTTTTGGAAAAATTGACTACAAGAAAACGGCTTTTAGAAAACAATAGAGAACATGAACGATGATTCAGAACGTATTAAACAGTAACAACAAATGTTACTAATTAAAATTACAATACAAATAGCGATGAAACATATCAAGAACTTACAAAATAAAGATCAGTAATGAAATAGGAGATTGATTGTAATAAAAGTAAGCTCATAATAAAAATACTTTGAACTTACCACGCCGGGAAGAATTGTAACTGAAGGTGTCATGACGGGTATACCTGTTGGGACAGGAGGTGGAAGCCCAGATGTATTACCAAGAGCGGCAGCCAATGGTTCATATCCTCCAGCAGTGTAATAACCAGCGGCAGTGGATGGATCAGGTGCTGGTGTTCCAACTGAAGCAGCAGCTTCCAAAGCTGATTGGTCAGTATTTAAACAAGGTGTACGACCAACTGGTGCAGCAGAAACTACCATTTCACAGGAATTTGCTCCAATTACTGAACTAACTCTGAGAGAAGTTGTTGGTAAATTTAAAAGATCTGGCAACTGGTAACCACTTATAAGTCTGCTAGCTCCACGAGCAATAGCTGACGTGGTTACACCAGTATTGATTGCATCACAAAGACTCATGTATTCTTCATATGTAGCATTTAACCTAGATTTAAACACGAATCGAAATATTTTAAAGCAAACACTCAAAAAGACTGAGTAAACATTCAATTATAACCGAAAGACTAGTTCATTTTTTGATTACGAAATGAAAACAATGTAACTACGTAATGCTGAACTGGGAACGTAAATTCTGTAATAACATACTGTGAATCAGAAATATGATGTTAATGTGAATAGCTTTTCAAAAACCACAGGTTGTGAATATTGTACTCGCTTTTATTATTGTACCCATCACAGTACACAATGTTTAGTGGGCAGAAAGCGTGCGTCAGACTTTTGGGTTTGTTTACAATAAGCACCATGATGCTACTGATGATTCTCTAAAAATATATGAACTGATGTTATTTAGTACTTTCAATTAGATAAATTGGTAATAATTTGTTTGAATTATCAAGTTAGTCTGTAGTATCTAGTTCTATATCGAGCCCACATGGGTCATTCTAACTTCCGGACAGGTCAATTTATTCATTCTTCTTGAGTCACACGTTGACCTAATTAATTATTCGTTTACCAACCTTGACTGTTTTTATGTGGGCGTGTGTGCACTGCTTATGCTACCCATCACATGTCTAGCTTATTTTTCTTCTGACCATAAATATTGAGTAACGCTTGGCTAAATGGAGTTTACTCATTTGCCATCTTCACTACGCACCATTCCGTTTCGTTTCGTTTTTCTGATCGTCTGGCTGGATCAACGATTATATGAAATATACGTATTCATACTTCATTCTCGTGTTTGGGATATTTAATTCTGTTGTTCACTAACGCGGATTAAGTCAATAAAATATACGAGGGTAGTTGGGATGTATATTTCAATAACAATCAATAAATGATCTAATCGGAGTCAGATAAGAGACTACACTAAACGTCCGTGGCGTAGTATGCAAGTCGATTCTTAAGGTGCAAAAAAGAAGTCTTTAGTTAATCAACAAGACATAAAACGTTAAAAGTATAACTTACCTAGATAAATCAGTATCGAATTCTTCTAAAAATTGTAGCTTACGTTGACAGAAAGCCAATTTGATATGCGCTGGCAAAACTGAATCAATTGTGGCAAGATTAGTGGCTTCAATAAATCCTTCAATATCAACCGGCCTACGTTGATAGATAATATCGAGTAACTGGGCATACAACCGCTCGTTACGCTTTTATCATAAAAATACAAAACAAGCATTGTGTAACAACGGAAACTAAATCATCTTGATTTATAATACAAATAATGATGTAACGCAATAATTACAGGTAAGATCATGAGTTATACACTGAAGATTAAGTGTAGTATGTATTCATCTTAACTATGGTAAGTAGATTGATGCTTCAACCAGAAATCCGGTTGAATAAACAGACGACTGAGTCAAATGCAAATCAATAAATCAGGCACATGTTCACATAATCCTTTTCAATTTACAATACATAATAGTTACTGATACTACCCAGCTATTTAAACCTAAGTAGATGGGGTTTTAAACTGGTAGTTAAAATCTGAGTACTTTAAACAGTAGATTGCCCCTTGACTGAGGTTATTATAAAAAGAACAGTGATGGCTACTCAACCTAATTTCAGACATCATACTGATATCAATATCGAATATTAGTTTATAATAACCCCTTACCCAAAGACAGAAACGTTTAATTCATGTACTGATTGGAACAACAGATACAGCATAGGCAATGTGTGCTATTTAAGTAAACGAACTACTGCGTGATTTAAGGATTTAAGAATAAATCGGTCGAATTTACTACTACCAACGATCAAGATCTTTTATAAATGCAGTGGTCTTAGAAATGAAACAGAATCATACTTCGGAGATAAAAATAAAGAACCACATCCACTGGAAATAATTCTATTACTGATGTTAACTGAGACCATATGAAAGAATCCTAATGTGTCTAGTTTACAGCTTCAAGTCGTTATGACAAATGTCAAAGTTATAAACTACAGTGTGATTGACAAAAAGACTCACTGGGTCATAATCAATGGCTTCTTTAAGGACTTTAATAGCTGCTTCTTCGCAAGAAATAACGACACGATCCTCGTCCGTAAGTTCCGATGGGGAAGGGGCGTGAATCTCAATTACTTTGTGTCGTCTGTTAAGAAGTATACGTATACGTTCCTCTTCTTCAGCTGTTTGGTCAACCTCAGGAACTGGTTTTGACTCATCCCCTGATACGTCCTCAGCATTTTCTTCATCTTTATCTTCTTTTTCAGAATTCTCATCTTCCAGTTTCGGTTTTTTGCTAGAACTATGCTTTCGCCTCGACTTTTTGCTTTCCCTGTGCCTACGCTTATGATGTTTTTTCTTTTTTTGTGAACAAGGAACAACCAGAATGGGAGGAGAGCCAGATTCATCTAAAGCATCCTCATTTGTGTGCTCATCTTTGTTGGATGTCGTCGTTGCATCCATTGCTGGCTTCTCGGAGCTTTCCTCATCAGTTTCTTCATCCATTGTCACATCGTTATCAGACGAGGCAGCTTCAATATCCGAATCAGATTCACGATCGCTAGTTAGAGTATTGATTTCTTTTGCTTCATCTGTAATATTTTCTTCATCGACTTTCGTAGCCTCAGGAGATTTGGAAGCTTCATCTGATTTCTCATTGAGGTTATCATTACTTTCTGCTCCCACAATTTTTTCTTTGAGATTAGTTTCTTCGATTTTAGGTAGGTCAATTATCATCGATTCATCCTCTTCCTCTTCATATTTCGTACTGAGCAACAACATCCATACAGGTATTCCGTCTGGGGCTAGTGATTCGTTGCGATGAAACAATCGAGCAAGACGACCAGCAAGAACACCCGCTCCTGCACGAGCTTGTGCTGCAGTAGCAATAGCTTGTGCTACAGTGCGAGAAGCAGTAGCTCCAGAAACGCATTGTGCTACTTTATTTTGCTCCTGAACTAGATAACGAAGCCGATTGATACCGTTGCGCAAACAAGCGATAATATCGAACAGCTGGAAACGAATATAGCAATAACAAAAGTATATTTATTCCGAAATTATTAAATGAGAATGATAACATAACAGAAACATAGTGTGCAATATCTATGCCACTTGTTTCCTGAAAAACACTCATTCTGAGTGTGGATGTAAGTACAACTCAACAAACATGACTAAACCGCTGGGGATTTAAAACTTGAATAGCATGATCAAAGGATCTGTGCCGAAAAGCTGCAATTCCGAAATCAGTCAAAACTCAAATAGTCATTAAAATCAATGAAAACCAGAGAGCACTTAGCTAATGATCGAATGTAACTTGAGCACCAGTGAGTTCATAAGCCCTATCGTAAAAAACCATACAAAGCAAACTCATGTAACGACCTGCACATTTGATAACCACTGTAAGCAAAATTCGAGAGTCGCTCTTATATGTAATAACTCCATTTCAGTGACTATCTCGAACGACGAAAAATATTAACACTACATCATACGAAGTGATCGCCATAAACTGTGGATGTTTAGAAAAAACAATTCACCTTTATAAGGGTAGACCAAATAATAATCAATAATTGTGCATGTACCACTAGTTAAAAATATCTAAACAATGACAAAAATAAACAATGACCGTATTAATATCTGAATCCAACAATTTTTATGATTAGATGAAATTCTTCTATACCTATTACCACTGTGTGCCCACATTAAAGACATACCGATTATTCAAATGTCACCTTATGATTGCTTGCTAATAGTCATGTTAGTACACGTAAGCTACGTGGCTAGGGTCGTACAATTATTACAACCAATGTTTGAAGGCGTTGACAGGCGACTCAGAATCGGTCGAAATGGCGTAGATGTATTCAATATTTCTCTTCCCTTAGATCTCATATGGCGAGGATTGGCAAACCAAGGGTCGCATTCCTACAACTGAAGAACACATCGAACTCAAAACAACTGTCAACCAATATCAAAGTCACCATCTTCAACACGAACATCAAGACAGTTCTACTGTACGGAGATAAAACTTGGACAACTACTACAACCATCATCAAAAAGTATTTATAAATAATTGTCTACTTAAGATACTCAATATCCGTTGGCCGGATATCATCAGCAACAGCCTACTGTGTGAGAGAACAAAACAACTTCCAGTTGAGAAGGAAATTAAGAAGAGACAATAGAAGTGGATAGGACATATATTGAGGAAATAATCAAACTGCATCACGAAGCAAGCAATAACTTGGAATCCTGACGGAAAACGGAAAAGAAGAAGACCAAAGAACACATTGCGTCAGGAATTGGAAGCAGACATGAAAAGAATGAATAACAACTGGAAAGGATTGCTCAGGAAAGAGTTGGATGGAGAATGCTGGTGGGCGGCCTACGCTTCTCCACGAGGGGTAATAGGCGTAAGATGATCTCATTTATTTTATATTATCCTACACTTTTCTGTCTCACAACTTCATTGTCTTTTTCTCAGATCATGTCTCTACTTAATCTTTTTCCATTAAAAATGATATTGTTATTATCCCTTCTATATTAACATTTTTTCTCGATAATTTCATTTTGATGTGTTGAGTTCAATTTTCCTTATAACTGACCGACTGGCTTGCCACTAGAGAATAATTAACTGTCAGTTACATTCAAATACATCAAGTATGTTTTGGACAAAAAGAAGTACAGATAATATATCAAATGCACTACAATATTGGCTGTAGGAAATGTATCTCAGATTATTGTTCTCTATCGCATCATTATAAAAAGATTTTCCGGAATAAAAGGGTTTCGGTTAACATTGTTACAATGCATCAATATAAATATAAAATACATAAAAACAAATAAAAAGAATTTCTATACTCCATAAATAAGACTGAAAAACAGAACATGTTCAGTTCTAAAACTTACTGGTTTCCCTGCTCTTCTTAAAGCATCTGCTCGTCTACAACATACAAGAGCACTATCCGTTAAGCGTTTCTCTAAGTCTGTCAAAATATCGAGACAAGTAAGGACTTCGAATTTTTGAGGATTATCTAAACATGCAGGATATCTATCCTCGAAACAACCCCAATGCCAATGAATGGTTGGCTTGTACGGTAAATGAGTGATACAAGCACGTCGCCATACTTCACGTGCAGCAGATATATCTCCTTCAGTATACTAAAATAAAAACAAATGCGTTCAATCATCATCCACAATTTCAAACTCAACGTCATAAGTTATGCAACTTGTACACAATGTCACTCCCCTCCACAGAATTTTCCATGATTTACTGTTCGTGCTCTTTTCAAAATGATAAAGGGAACTGTGTGTGTGAAATTTACTGTTTAACACTGCACGAAGAAATCTTAATGTACGTAAATTGGTTACAAGACAATAATCTAGATTATGATTTAGTTCACTAGATTTATTAAAAATTATTAGTCGAAAAGCATAACATTATCTAAATAAGCTTGATGTTATATTTCAATAGAACCTCTGGATACGGATGTGTATATGTGCATCCATAAACTTGAAATATTATGGGATTCAAACCCGTATTGCTTCTAGGCACAGTCAAACAAGTTCTTTACCTGTTAACTCTGTGCATCACTTTGAAATTAAAATCTGAGTAAAATCAACAGAGAAACTAAACGAGGAGAAACTGGACAACCTTAACAGGATTGAATGCTTCGAAAAGAAAGTATCATCAATAACGTAAAAAAATAAGACTATGTAACTAAAGCATGGAACAAATGATTGTAAAATACAATACAAAACAATAAACCGTAAATGTAACTGGACACTATTTTAAAACAATAAAATATATGTAAATTTTAAAAGTTCTAAAATAAAATAATACCTCTAAATATTTTGCATAACGTATCCAGAAGTGTTCATATAGAGCACAAGCAACAAGACAACGCTCATAAAGAACACGAACACGACGTTTAGCAAGTTTTACTTCAGGATATTCAAGAACAGCTTCTTCTAATTTATCATCAGATAACTGATTAGTCACTTTTATTTGTTCTCTTATATGTGAAATTACAGTTCCTGCTTCTGCTTCTTCAAAACTTAAATATTCAGCCCAGTTATTTAGTTGCACTTCTTCAAGAGGTTTCACATGGAAATATGGACGTCGGATCTAAATAATACACGAAGACATATAAAGACATAAAATTAACTCAGCACACTCAAAATCAAAATCTTTGTTTTGGTTATTTATGCTCTGAAGAAATGGCTTACACTGAGTTACAAAACGTCAGAAAATCTCATTTTTCTACTGATTTATTTATTTATAACAATTTACCCATTGCTCAATTTATTCAAAACTATCAAATCAAACCTTGGTAATGATAGCAACAAACAGAACACTTAAAAATTTGTAATAAGTCAGAAATAACGAATATATGACATACCTTTTCTTCAAAATACCACCGCCGCATAATCTGCATATAAGTTGCCCGATAAATTTGTTCACGCGAATCAATTATCATTTGTCGTACAGATGCCCTTACAGAATCTGTTATCTAGGAAAATAGTGGTTTGGCGAATATGTAAATATAGATTTCAGGAAAAATGTTATACTACTCAGCACAAATATTAAGCATTTCAATTTCTATAATGAAACATAAACTTAGTAGTTTGACAAACGGATGAAATTGTACCCATTGCGATTGAGTGTAATCTAATGAAAAAATTAAAACTTAAATGGTATACGAAATTTATAGGTAAATTATGTGTTTCTTTGGGGTTGACAATAATGAATACAAGAATACACTACTTCTATACAAATATAAGCAGCAAACTAATATAAAAATGTTCTATACTATATAAGAACAAGCCTACAGAAGTAGTAAAATACAAGAGGAATTATCTATTCACTTCAGGGGTCCATTCGTTTCAAGCGCATTCGTGGTTTTGCGTACAAAATGAATACGATTTCTAATTCTTTGAATTAAAAAAAAACAGATAACAATTTACCCAACAAGCAAAGAGTATTAGCTACTCATTATTAATATCCCCTTAATACCAATTAGCTAGTGTTTGCGTCATACTACTATATAAGGGAGACGGTGATGAAAATACATATAGTAACTATGCAGTATATGACTCGTGTACACAGTTTGATCCTACAAATGACAGTATTAACCCGAGTTGATTAATTAGCAATAAATACAGCCTAGTAACTAAGTAAATACTTATGTACACAGGGTTGAATCAAAATTAATATATGAGAACTAGATATACTATCCGGGTTAGACAAAATAAAATAAATAGAGCAGCTAAGTGGAGAGATCGAACAATTGAGCTACACCAGCCAAAGTATATCAATAGTAACTGATTGCAGTTCGGAATGAAATAAACACGAACTAAGTTGCTAGTAGATCCACATGAATCCCGTCTACGGTTAGTGTTAGTCTCTACCCCGGGTAAACGAGGAGTGTTGGGTGTAGGGTTGGTAACCACACCTGTTAAGAAGGAACCCCGTTACAAAAAACAGCTATCTACACAAGATACTCCACATTCATTGGTCAGAAACCAGTAATAACCTACTCTGATGGAGACTGCTAGCTGAGGAGAAAATTAAGAAAACACGTTGAGAATGGATATGATGCATTGTAGAAACCACCAAACTGCAGCGCAAGACAAGCCCTAAACTCGAATCCTCGAGGGAAAGAATTGGAGGCTGATATCAAGGTCACGAAAACCACCTGATAACAACTAGAAAGAAGAACCTATAAGAGAGTTGATTAGAGATTTCTGGTCGGCAACCTATGCTCCAAAAGTGTTAATACAACCCCAAATAATGTAAATATGGCGTTATACTTAGTCTCAATAGGCAACTAATTGCAACTACTGCAGTGTTGAATCAACTAGCAACCTACTCTTGATAAATTAGGCGGCAAAGTATAATGTACATTGGAAACAACACCATGGCGGTATCACCATCCAATCAGTGATTCCTCAAGAAGCTAGGATCTGCTAATATCACTAAAAGCTTCACAATTAATCCAACAATTAACAACTTATTCAAATTCACAAGCAGAGAGCTACGTAGATGTATTAATTAATGAGTTGGATTTCCAAATGATACAGTAATCTAAACACTCGGAACTAACTTCTGATTAGAATATGAAAATATCATCCGCAAGCTGAAATAATGGGCTGGTTACGACTACATTTCAAATGGTTTTATGAAATCCCGGACCTATGTGGAATGTCCCAAAAGCGAATAATGAATTAACAACCTACAAGTAAGAATTATTATTCACCAGACTTATATGAAAGCGTAACATTATATCATATCCGGAACAAAAATGTAAACCATGAAAGAAACGAACTCTTGAATCCCATTACTAAGAAAATCTCCGGGAATATACATTGATTAATTCTAAAAACGAACCATTATCCACCCAAAAAAGTGGCTTCACAATTAATGTACCACTATCGGTTGTAGCAGAATAAAACAACCCAAACAAACTTCCGTATTTCATACAAATTAGTATTAAAATAAATTTGAGGAAAAATACAATTAAAGAATTGTCAATAAATTTCATACTTCGATCACTGGCTTTGTAGATCCTAAAATTGGTGGTTCCAACTCATCACTAATGTCTCCTGTTGATTGTTCAAGTGAGATAGGCTTGCCAGTAGCCGCTGAAATTTGTGACACCATACTTGCAAACTCATTTTTAGACAGTATATCCTCAGGACGATTTTCCTCTACTAATTTATTGAAACTGATATTGAAAACAACAATAAAAATGATTGCTAACGTAACTCAAAAAGTGCCTTTTAAAATGTAAGGACAAAATACGTACCGGAATTTAAGATTTCACGTGGGTAATTTCTGCTCTCTATATTTTATGAACCAGTCTTTCCTGACCACCATGGAACACAAACAAAATAAACCTACTAAGTATGGACGATGAAAAATCGCAACTTGAAAGCAATGTTTGAATTCTTTAACCTAGTAGTTGGTATTAAACAGTGGTCTATACCGAGTCTGAGGAACATAAGTACTTTGACCAGCTAACAATAAACTTGACGGATTTAGCGGTTGACATAAAATGACTGTTTGCCATATATAAACTTATGGTACTTGTGGTTTCAGAAAGATACTCAAATATCAGTCAAGGATCGACTTTGTCGTTAACAGGAAGCTGTCTAACTTTTTCTTCGTAAGATATCACTATTAAAAGTGGAGAAAGTGTAAATATCTAAAGGCTTTGAACGCCAGTTCTTTCAAATATTTGTTTTCGAAAACCGTCTAGCTAACAAGCGAGTAATATTGGGAATAGATGTGGTGTTATTTAAACGAGATAAATCGGTTAATAAACTTGTAGGCCTGGATTGATAAGTGGTTTAGACATGCGTAACACAAATTAATATTTCTCAACCTCAACTCCTACACCTGAGTCCGAGAAGTGAAACTTATTTCGAGGAGGGAAAGGTGATGCTTTGAGCCAATCAGAAATCAGTCAAATGACAAGTGAACAAGATTAGCCAAAAAATGGTTTGCATACACTACTGAAGACTTAATTTCCTAAGTAGAAGATTATATATATATATATATATATATATATATATATATATATATATATATATATATATATATATATATATATATATATATATATATATATATATATATATATATATATATATATATATATATATATATGACTTAGTATGCATTCCTACCTCAGTTACCCAATAAAAGCTTCCTTCTCACGTATGCAGCCGGTCCGAATCGTGCGTAGGAAGCTTAGGTATCAGGATCAGACAAAGAACAACTTAATAAATAGCAAGTCCCCACATCCTTCTGAGATTGATAAATAGTGAGAATGGATATAGATCAGATAAAAACTGGTATGAATCACCAAATTGAGAAATGTGATTTTGGTACTGAATGGTTACAGTAAGTTAGCATGGAACTTAAAATGCATGTACCATGGCACTCATCATCAATGTGGAATACGTGATCACTTGTCCCACAACCTTGTGTATCGCGATTTGAATAACTTTATTCAGTGGCCACACAGAAAACTTGGTTGACAGGACGTTTTTCATTTTACCTACTGAAAACCATAAAGCTGGTTACGTTCTAATGGTAGGGTAATTAAATTATAAGCGTTCAAAGCATAATCCAAGCTATTGTTAAAATCGGCGTCAGACACTTTGTGTAGCACAACTAAGATCAAGTCATTATGTCACTCTCAATATCGCTCTAAATGTTGAGCACTTTATTGTTTGAATCTATTTTTCTTTTTCTAGGCATTTTCTGTTATCGAATATTAAAAATCTTATGAGAATTTTGCTTTGAGGAATACAGCAACCCGAACTCATGAACGGTTGCACATAGTTTTCCAAGGACTTTTAAGACAGAATGTAATCTTGTATAGGCAAAATAACTAGGACTGTAACATGAATGTAATGAAGTGAAATTCAGGCAACAACCGTTGTGATAAACTAAACCAACCTGTCCCAATTTTGAAAGTAAAGTTGAGTTGGGATTGATAATAAACGAGCATATATATTCGCAGCATTAACTAGTCTATTGTGTCCACTTTCCCAGCTGATATAGTGCTCCCACAAGGCATCAGAACGAAATTCAAGCCCAGCAGAATCCACTGCAGATTCATAGAGACTGAAATACATAAGAATCATATTGATTAAAAAAGGGTTTGCGTACACTGAAATAAAAGCTACAACGAAAAGCATTATAACAAATGTGCATACAACAGAAAAAGAATAAACCACTGACCTGCGCATTTTAGTTTCATAGTCATCATGCGTATGGTAGTATTCAGTAGCAGCGTCCAAATAGGCCGTCCAGAGGTCAACACTCAAAGGTATGGTCTTAACTCCCATTTCGTAAACCTGACCAAAAATACAAACCGATCCATTTAAAATAGCATTAATGACTCTTAAAAGCAATGAAACAAGGAAAATGTGCTCTCAGAGGTCTGACTACTTCTAAAAAACTATATAAAGATTACAACAAGCTATTGTCTTCAGTAATAATTACAAACTACACATCACTAAAATGTAGTTAAGAGAGACGAAGCTAACTACCAAGTAACTGAAGATATTGTTTTCTTGCGCTTTGAAAAGCTTGCCACAAATAAATTCTCACAAGGAAAAATCTCGTGGAAAAATTCGGTAAATTATAGGTGAATATGTTTTAAGTTGAGTGAGTTGGTATTTTAAGTAAGCGATTTCCAAACAGTAACGTAAAGGACACAACTTTATTCCACTTACTTTATTCTGAGTGGTTAAATAGAAGCGTATGATTTTAAAGAACAATTATTTGGATGGATCGTTCTTTGAAAAGTCTTACATTAAAGCATATGATTTTGCCACTCAGTTATAGCCAGCCTAAAACCTGGAACGTTTGTTCCAGTCGAACTCCAACAACTTATATCAACACCGAGACAATAAACAAAATGAAAAGTAAAAGGGAAATCATGTCAACTGCAGTGTAAAGTTACCCATAAAACATAGTTCAAAAGACATGAGACGGAATCCCACTCGACGCAAGATTTGGGTAAGAATGTCAAATGAATAAAACCATGTCAGTGTACCCGATTCTAGGCTAATTTACCTAATATTTCTAGCCAACAACACTTTGTGCAAAAAATAGAACTTAAGAACTAGTAATAAAATAATGTTATATTTGTTTTATCCAGAGTGAATACTTTATTTACTCTATATTGGTTTACATTAATCCACAAAACGTCACCAATTCAGATTTCTACTCATTGGGATATTAAAAAAATATGTCATTTTACCATTACCTTTCTACCTAATGATCAATTTCCTTGAAACTATCAAGTTCAATCTTAGAATTGATACCTACCTAAGGACTAGTAAAAGGATCCATGAATCAACGTGCCATATACTAGGCAAAAAAGTGCCTAATATATCAGCCTGAGCGACTCCTTGTATCGAATACTCCTGTAACAAAATGCCTATTTAAACAAAATCTGCAACAATTTAATGAATAACCGGCCAGCAATTTGGAAGCATTCCTACAAAGGCAATGACATTGTGTCAACTAAATTATAACAACCTGTAGCTTTTCTAGGGTTACTGCGGTTCCAAGCCAACACAAAAGAGGAGGGTTGAGAATGAAATCAGCAACCCCATCCCATAGAAAACAACTTTGCTAAAACAACACTAACCAAAAAAAGTTAAACCATTTAAACCCTGCCCTCCGAGTTAAAAAAAAAAACCTTCATTCACGAGAATTATGACGCCTCACGGTGAAAGCCGAGATTCTCCAGAAGTCATGAGGTCGACGACCATTCTAACAACCAGAGCAACAATTGATATAGGTACATGGATTGTCCGAACAATGTGGGAGACTAGAAGGACTAGTCAAATAGCAACGAAAATGAGAAGATACAACCTAGCGGTGCTCTAAATCAGTGAAACCCATTGGATACACGCTGGACAGAAAACATTAGCTTCGAGAGAGATACTGCTCTACACTGCCCACGAAGAAGAAAATGCTCCGCACACGCAGAAAGTTGCATTAATGCTGTCCAAAGAAGCACGTGAAGATCATATAGGATGGGAATTTCATGGATTCTGAATCATCAAAGCATCCTTCAAAGCAAAGAAGGAGATAATCACAATGAATGTTATCCAGTGTCATGCGTCTACCAATGATAGTAGTGAAGGAGATAAAGATCAGTTTCACGAGAGGCTTCAGTCGGTCGTGGAGAAATACCCAAGAAGGGAACTGATCATCCTGATGAGAGATCTGAACGTCAGAGCCAGGGTGGACAACACCGGGTATGAAGATCTCATGGGACGACGTGGACTGACTAGAAGAAGGGAACGAGAATGGTGAGGGATTCGCAAATTTATGTGCATCCAACAGAATGTTTATTGGCTGCACAATATTCGCCCATAAGCACATGCACAAACTACATAGACCACACCGAATTACACTACACATAATCAGAAGGATGATATTTGCATCACTAAGATGTTCAGAAGGTCAATGGAATACGTGAGAACCAGGAGAGGAGCTGACATATATTCAGATAACCATCTATCTGATGTTCACCAAGATGAGACTGAAGCTAGAGAAACAATGGACAACTGGACAAACAGTATTATAAAGGTTCAATACAGCCCTCCTTCAAGATACTGACAGCAACAGGTTCCGAGCCTTACAAGATCTATCGAAAGAAGAAACTATTATGGAGGAAAATTGGAAATGAATCAAATAAACACTAACATCAACGAGCCAGCAGCTGCCGGGTTGCAAGAAGCACCTTCGTAAGGAATGGATCTCTATTGAAATCCTGGGCAGGATTCAAGCAGGTAAGAACAAGAAGACAGCAACTAACTACAAACGAATAAGAGCAGAGAAAAGAAAGGTATAGACCAAATACACAGCAGAAAACAAGCAAGTGAGTGCGGCCTATGCTCCTCAACGTGGGGTAACGGGCGTATGCAAGCAAGCGAGTGAAGAGGAGAATTAGAGCCGGCAAGCCGAAATACGTGTAAGACCTATCAATGATAGTGGAAAAAGTAACTCCTTACATTCACTTATGTCAATTGTTCCACACTATTTCTTACCTCAATTTAAAATTCTAATACATATTTGGTTGTTGCTTCAGGACTGATCTGCGTCAACACCTGAACTAAAGATAGGGAGTGAAGTAGTTGAACGCGATGACAACTTATCTTGGAAGTCTGATCAGCCTTAATGGGTTGGTGTCTGATGAAATCTCAGCACGGATTCGAAAAGCTCGTTTGGCTTTTACCAACTTACGTGACCTATGGTGAAGGAGAGATATCTGTCTATCAATTAAAGGACGAGAATACTGCGCGGCAGTTTGTTCTGTCTTACTTTGCAGTTGCGAAACGTGGCCATTAAGAGTAGAAGATACTCGTAAGTCACTAGTATTTGGTCACAGATGTCTTAGAAATATTGCTCGCATCTACTGGGATCAGAGGGTAAGTAATAGCGAGGTTAGACGCAGAGTATTAGGAAATGGTAGTAAATCAGTTCATGAGGTTGTGAATCTTCATCGACTGAGATGGTTGGGCCATGTGTTACGTATGCCTGAACACCGATTACCACGACGTGCAATGCTAACGGGTGTTAGAGATGGTTGGGAGAGAATTAGGGGCGGCCAAACCAAAATGTGGCATCAGTACTTGAAGTCACTAATTTCGATTCTTAGCCATATTAGTAGATGCAAATTACTTGGTTGGGGTCCGCGTGACTATCGTAACCCATGATTGGAGACTCTGTGTGACATGGCTTAGAAACGATCACAATGACATAGGTTTATACACTTTCTTTCTTCCCTTAAACTATGAGATTAAAATTATTTCATATTTTTCTTCCTACGAACTAAGTCTTTCATTCTGTACTATATCCTTACATAAAATCTTTCCCTTATATATTGCATCATTGAATTAACTGCTTCTATGAACCCGGTGTTCGTCTCGCTGTGCTAATGAGGTGTGGCAACTTGGACCGATGAATGTGTGTGCCTGATCCAACGTTGTAACTGACTGACTGGCTGTAAGCAGCTGAGAAACCACGAAATATAGTGGATTCATACTATTGTGCATCAGTGTTTGTTCTGGCTTTATTTAAATTCATAAAGGGAACTAATCGCATGAAAGCAACATCCTCGAATACAACACGGAGAACACTAGACCAACCACACTTGTTGGAGAAACTCTGGAAAAGACAGAAACTTTCAGGTATCTGGACAGCATCATCGATGAACAAGGAGGATCTGATGTAGAAGTAAAGTCAGGGATTGGTAAAGTAAGGACAGCATTCCTACAACTGAAGAACACATCGAACTCAAAACAACTGTCAACCAATATCAAAGTCACCATCTTCAACACGAACATCAAGACAGTTCTACTGTACGGAGATAAAACTTGGACAACTACTACAACCATCATCAAAAAGTATTTATAAATAATTGTCTACTTAAGATACTCAATATCCGTTGGCCGGATATCATCAGCAACAGCCTACTGTGTGAGAGAACAAAACAACTTCCAGTTGAGAAGGAAATTAAGAAGAGACAATAGAAGTGGATAGGACATATATTGAGGAAATAATCAAACTGCATCACGAAGCAAGCAATAACTTGGAATCCTGACGGAAAACGGAAAAGAAAAAGACCAAAGAACACATTGCGTCAGGAATTGGAAGCAGACATGAAAAGAATGAATAACAACTGGAAAGGATTGCTCAGGAAAGAGTTGGATGGAGAATGCTGGTGGGCGGCCTACGCTTCTCCACGAGGGGTAATAGGCGTAAGTAAACTGCATCTTAAGAAGGGTTAAAAACTACATAAGTTTCCTACATAAGTGTAAAGACTGCTTATGACACCCTAGTTTATATTTATTAAATATAAAAGTCTTTACTGAAAAAACTATCAAGCTGGTGTCACGAGTTGGAATAACTGGTGACGAGGGTTTAAATCCCAGTTAAACTCGCAAACGCATCAATACACATAACTGACGTGTCCTGATTTTAATGAACACTAAAAAATATCAGGCATTAATATATGTGGGAAAACATGAAAGTAATTCAGATAATTTCGTATTCACGTTGCAAATTATGAAGTGAGAATCATTAACTAGTAAATAAGATACCACGGCGTTGCGACTAGCATTAACTATACACATTACGGATTACTACATTTTTAATTGTGCAAACTAAAAACGGGAGTGGTTGTAATCGTTCAAAAGTATATTGGCTCTTAATATTGTTTGTAGTATATTTACCCATAAATATTACCACGAATAGTCTCGGTGAAAATTTATTGTTTAATAAAATTTGTCACTTGAATTTTTGTCATTTCAGGTACTCTGCTAATTTTTTTAAATAATATTCTTAATTTTCTTGCATCATAAAGTTTGTAAATGCTTTTCCCCTTTTTGATTTTTAGTTGGTGGCGTTTGTGAAGCCCTTCAACTTGCAGTCGCAACTTCCAGCCACATCCCACTTACTTTGGTTTGGGTAACCGGTAGTACCACTACTCAGAATACTTAGTGAGGGTCAAACCAAGTACACAAACATGTACCTGGTAATGAGTTAAATTACTAAGTAATGATTAGTTTTTCAAGGTGAAGTGTACGACGTGCTTCTTCCTAGTTGGAGGTGGCAAGTGGTTGTGGTAGATGATATCAGAAATAGATACACCGGCCTCATATTTAGCCAAATCTTCATCTAGATTATGTCTGTTGCAACAATAATGCTGGTTCGAAGATAAACCAACTAGTCCAAGATTTTCTCACTATCAACACGAGGTAACAACTAGAGATTTCTGGACACATCAAGAAATGAAGAGATGAAACTAACTACCAGTACAACCCTTTTGTGAAACGTGAAGACCACCTTTAGCAAACAAACGCAAGTGATTATGACCCAAAGCGAATCAGGGGACTTATCTGAACCACCTTATTTTCGGTTACGTCCAGTGTTTACATAAGATAACTGAAAACTAACAAGAGAAAGGATTTTAATGGCACAGGTTATCAGTGATGCAAGAGTCGAAGAACGATGTAACGATTTGACCCAGCGATTAATTGATATGAAAAACCATTTAAATGTAGTGTATACACCTTTGAAACGTCATTTCCCTAGTGCATCTATCAAGACCAATACCTAGACCACCTCAATCCCTTATTGTCATACGGTAATTTGAGATCTGTAATTGATAAATTACATTCTGACTATTTGGGTGAATTTTCCCTTTACAAACTGCCAGCGGTATTTATCAGCAAGAAATATACGTAAATAGCTAAAACTTATTATTTCTGGTTTTACTGAAATAAAATAGAATTTTGCAACCATAATCAACTCATTCACCAAGTACTTGAACTAATACCCTGTAGCCCCACCTAAGGTAAGATGTGCGGTGTTCAAAACTTGGACATATGCATCGAAAGCCTGTTTTCTAGTAAGGTTCATTAACCAAAAGTGTCACTGCTGCTGTTTGCTTGCGATTCTGTCATTATAATAATCTTAAAGTACGCGATTATACGAAACGCGCTACAGATTGTACAGCTGTCGTGATACACGTTTGATCGAAAGCACTTGAAAAGTCTTCAGTCTTCCGATTTTCGTGTAGTATCTTAATTACAAACAACAATACGGACAATGAAAAACGCATTTAGTCAAATTACGTAGGTGATCAAAAGTTTCTTACTTGTAAACACTTTTCCTTATTTCCTTTATGGCGTTCCATATCAGCGAACTTTTTCCAATAACCATAGCAATATGGGAAACGTTTGAAAAAAGCATCAAAGGCTTGTCTAGCATACTCAATATTTTGCTAAAGATATTCGGTGACATATATGTATTACCTGTTTTTCAACGAGATCCAAAAGGCTGATCCAAACTGAAAATTCAGTCGGATTGTCTTGTGCTTTCCTCCACAACTTATGAAAAGACATGGGTGATGAACAGTAGATTTGAAATGGACAGAATAACCAGCGGTGGGCAAATGACCTTGTCTTTACAATTAGAGCGCTGAAGAGATAATCATCCCTTTTCAATAGTCAATAAAAGTGATGTATTCTGCATTTTCGAGTGATTTTCCGTATATTTGATGTGTTCCTAGCGCATACAGAACCGTGCTTTGAACTAAGGATCTCATTACAGTTATCTAAAGCTATCTACAAATATCTATGAACATGCAACTGTTAAGCAACTGATCTTGTGGGATGAAAAAAGTAGATTTACTGGTATTTAAAACTTTAAATAAAATCCTTAGTGTACGTTATGCTCTTGTATATATGATCCACGCACCAAATGATCGGCGAAATGCTCGATATTACACATACGCTGTTGATTGAAGGGCAGGTGTGTTAAAAAGAAATATATGGGTATCACATTTCATAATTATTCTCTTTAAATGAGACTCTTTACTAGGCTTAAAACATAACGTATACCGTTACTCAGATTATCAATTCTAGCTTCCGGGTAGATCTTGGTAAATCAAACAGCATGTAGCGGCAAATAAACCCCCAAAATATAGTTCTATAAGTCTTCGACATTTGATAATTACCGCATTAGTTTTAATGAACTCAGTTAACTGAAGGCTCTCTACCACTCATTCCCACTAAATCACGTGTGGATACGCTGTACTACATACTTCCTACAACTGTTAACCAGTTTTAATTAATCGCTTCATGATATATCGACAGCCTAGCAAATATACCTTCGAACATCTGACTTCTGATTTGACTAAGTTGGCACACTTCGATTGTAAAAGGTGTTCCTGATGAATGTGTTGTCGAACTCAGAATACTTGTGGCATCTTTAAGCATATAAACATTGAGTCATTTTAACCTTCCTAAAAACTTTATTCTTTTCACAGAAAGTTGTGACCTCAAGCTAGCTGGTTCGTCACACCATGACTGTCTAACCGAAAATACTTTGATTGTATAACAAATAAGTTAAGTCCAGAATATTAATCCCAGCCTCCGGCATATGAATCATCTATTTCAAACATACCGGGTTTATATACAAACCAAATAGTCCACATCGTACCATAAAATAGAAAATAACATTTGTACAAGACCTTGACAAAAATGGCTGTGAATGTGGGACACTGTAATTGATAGACTGTGCATAACTCAAGAACGGCAAATCGTATAACAATAGTTTATATGCCAAAATAAAGCTTGTAAGAAGAGGTGCATAGATATACACAATCTAGTGAAATGATCCAAGTCTTTCATTCACCTAACAAGCAACATATCAAGTCTTTAAAGCTGTCAAGATTATTGTGTTTGTCAATTGTAGTTTCCATATAGCGGAATTCAAAATGATTCTTTATAAGGTGTGTTTGACCGTTACCAGAATACTGCCCAATTATATTCAGTTGCATGCGTTTCTTTGAACAGAGTAAAGCTGAGAAAATACAATATCATTTTACAAGACGTTTCATGCCAAATCTATTATGGATAAATCGCGCGCAGGCCTTGAAAATCGTAACATTATTTCACGTAGGTTTTTTTTCATACCATTATTTTTTCGCCCAAAGTTAACAAACTAATTAGCAAAATGCTATATTTTGGTAGCGCTTTATTAACTTGACACTTCATATTGGCGCTCAACAATGTATACTTAGTTTGTTAGGTTTCACGCCGTACATTTTTTGTCGATTATTAACGGTCATATATTACATCCTAAAAATATCGGATTCAATCCTACCATCGAATATTTATCATCCATTAGGTTAACTGCCCCTAGTCTCAAACGCTTCTTGACTAAACTTCCTGACCAATCCTCAAATACACTACTTGTTCATTTAACCCACTCTCCTCCAGTTATCAATCTTAAAAGTACTTCTGTAGAATTATGGTCTACTATGATATTAGTACTGCTCTAATAATAGACCTAATCCCAAAATTGTAGATTCGTCATGATATAACTGCCTAATCTATAAGATCTTACGTGGAAGTCACACCATCGACTACACCAACTCACTGTATCGCATCAATTACTAATACATGACGTAGAACAAGGTTAGGCTAGAGAAAGAACAATATATTTAATATGAATAGAAGATATAAGGTAGCATTCAGCAGAGACCACGCCTGCATGGACGAGCCATGCCATCAAACCAAACCCAGTCATTCAATTCCTTGTTCGCGCCTTCTCCATTGTTAGGTATTTTTCCGTGTTAAATATTGAATATCTATTTTCTGAGTAGTCTCGTGTTCACAGCTTTGTGGATTGTGTGGCTATTGTCCAATGCCACTACACTACTCTCCCACCAGAATCAACGTGATGTTGGTTCGATACCAAATTGGATGGGATCGTCGCGCGCCGGAGGTTACCAAGGATAATAAGAATCCTCCGGGTATTGGTAAGCTGAAAGATAAATCAAAAAGAAAGCGGCAGCATCTGGTCGGGAAATACATGTAATAATTTTAAAATATCTGCCTTCATGCTTAAAACGCTAGAAATGACAATTTGGGTGAAGATTATTTGAACTGTAAAGAATGGCATAATAATAATAATAAAACGATCCGTGCTAATAGTCGTTGGTTAATAACTTAACGTATAGGTAGTAAGTATTTTGTGTTTAGAAATATTAAGGTAATGAATATTGTAGAAATGTTAATATTGGTATTAGTTTTGGTTTAAATCATGAAATCAAATAACGATTATGCCGGTAAGTTGTCCATATGAGTTGATTTCCAACTGCATATGTATTAGTAGGCTAACTGAAGGAACAAAAGTATTACCGTGGAGAATTCCAACTAGTGTTCCAGTTAGTTTGATACGGTTTATTTAGTTACGGGGAGATTTCCTCAACCTCATTTTTACTTGACCGTGATAGAATTTAGTAATACTACTAATACACATGAATGTTTATCAAAACAAAATTTGAATAAGTGAGTGATGATTATATGAATTTGGGATAGATAGCTAGGAACAAATCGTTAAACATGAGTGTATTCGTTAGAGACATGTTCTAGACTCAATGTTCTGCATTGCCATAGACTATTTATACATATTTATATCTGACGGCTGATTAAGCATACAAGTTAGTTGGAAGTATGCAGTTTATCATAAGGCGAAATACGATTTAATTGAGATGTTGTGGTTATGAGTTATTAAAATCAGTTAAGCCTATGTGTCATATTACGAAGTGATGTGGTGCTGCAAGATGTATTTGGCTAAATAAGTTTTTACAAGATGATTAATAGTGAGTGATGCTCATGTGATTATCAGGGAGAACATAAGTTGTAACCAGGGGGAGTACACTCCCAACTCATGTCTATGATAATGGCTTGAACCTTAGTCAGTGTTGGGGTAAATTCGACATTGATGTTTTCGGTTTACAGGAGGTTTGCTCGACTGCTTATACTGATTATTTGCATGCATGATTGTGTCGCTAGACCATCAATTAAACTGGCAAGGTTTTGAGATATTTACTGAATGAGCAACTGATAGAGAAACATACTGTAATCATCTGTAGTGAATGAAGATAAAAGAAAAACAACACTAGTGATAATTATAAGTCAATTTGCTGACCGATTTTGTTAATAGTTTCATTAATTTCATCAATCATATTACATGATTGTCAAGTCATGGCAATGCTTTATGACGATATCCTGAAACTATTATGTTTAACTAGTTATAGTGTTGAATGAGGATTAGTCAGTGGAAAAATAGGTATTGTTGCTTTAGGTGTTTCGAAACTATCAGAAATTTGTAACGTTAAAGAATCCGAGACGCCTAATTTAATTATAAATTTTAATTCAGAAAGATTCGTTTAGTGTTAATTCTAGTAGGCTACGGAGTTTTGATTTTAAACGTTTGTTTAGCCAACAGCTACCTGGGGATTTAGTTATTTTACTAGTGCAGTTGATAGTACCTAAATTTTTGATCTTATTATCTAAACTATGTTCGCATTTTAGGCTGCTAATATGATAAACCAATCCATAAACCCAAATACGATTAGCAACAACGACTATGATGGGTTTATTGATAAATGTTAAAGGCGATCCAGATGATTTCTAAATTTAGAAGACATGGAGATATAGTGTAACGTATGTATGGGCCAGGTTAACATGCAGGTTGTTGACGTATATGACAATTTGAAAATAATGAACATGACCAGAAAATAATTTTAAAGTTTAGACTGCTTAAGAAACTTCAGGCAGGAATATGATGCGTTATAAACATTCCATAAGAAGTTACTGCATTTAGCCTAGGGACACTTACAAATATATAGCAAAAGGAACCGGAAAACATATACATGTTAAGTAAAAAAAGTCATTAAGTAAAATAGTTGAACTCGCCTGGGTTATTTTTGAAAATTAGATTATTCAGTGGACGACATATACAACGCCATTCGTGAGTAGTATTGATCCAAAAGCATCCAGAATAAAACATGCAGTATGGCAATTAATTCCAGGGTGCTTGATGCTGTTGACGTTTTTTACACTCGCTCGGATCAGAACAATCGAATAAATCCAGATAATTGTATGGTTGTCATTGAACGAACCATCTAAAAGTGATTGCAGAAAACTTATACTTGAAACTCAACGTATGTTTTTGGAGAAGTGTCATCCTTGTTGTTTGGCAATGGAACTCGAAAATATGAAATTAGGCAGGCAGTGGTCAGAAGAAAAGATATTACAGGATAGTGCATAGTTTAAAACAGGATGAGGTGTTAAGTGAAGGAACACTGAGAATTAGATTCAGATAACTATTTAGTCCTTGATTGCATTGTTAGTCAATGTATACTTATGCTATTTACAGGTCATATTTGCTAGAGCTTGATTTTTAAACAAGTCTATATTGCTGAAGCATGTAAATGCTATTACAGCTTGTTAACGAACCATCAAAGCTAATTAGTTGATATAGATGATCAACTTTTATTATCGGTTGAGCTAGTAAGTTATGTGAACTAATAGATATAACATTACGATAATATATGTGACCATTAATCAAAGGACTATTAGAATAGTGGGTTTACAAAAGTAAAATCCGATTGAGAAGGTTAAGGTGGAAATA